TGTTTTACAAACTAAACCAGTTCATACCCTTTTACTATTTCAGCTAACAAGCGCAAAAGTGGATACATTCATATAGTGAGGCTGATTCTTCATGATTCAACTTTTTTAACTACTATGGAAGCATTCAAAGCACGTGGATCATATCTTGTAAAGATTACTGTACCGTTAATTAAAGAAATAGCAATACTTCGACCTCGTGATATGTATTATAAATCGTATTCATTTTGAAGTAAGGGCCGAGCCACCATATATGGTAGTTTAAGAAGTAAAGCTATTAGGTCGCACAAAGTTAATTTCGTTTTGCTCAAAAATTCGTTTGGTTGGTCGGATTTTTGTGTTTTCTTTTTAATTCTGAATAACGAATAACTCTAAAACACTTATTTAATCACGAAATGAGGCAATTGATCAGTATACCATTATGGTTAAATCGGCTAGCAATTTTGACAGTATATTTGGGTCCTTATTTGTAAATATTGGGCCTTTATCTGTATTATTTTCATTTTGGGCTCTTATTTGTAATTATTTTCATTTTTGGGCCCTTATCTGTAAATTCCCCATAATTTTATCATAAGTATTCGTACAAACTAAACACATTAAACATGTCGGGCAAGTATTCAAACGAAAATTTAATAACGTTGTATGTGTCGATATTATAAGATAAAAGGTACGTACGTACGATATTACATGTAATATATTTTTTATATACCGATCATGCCAATCAATAACTTAACCGAATCGGCCGAAAAATCATTCTGATAATAGCTGTAACAGGAGGAACTGTCGATGTTACACGACTGATCCTTCACCCGGTGTGCAATATATAAAAAAATTATTTTACAATACCAGATCATTCCGCTAGTACATGTACTAGCGGTATTGTAAAATAATTTTTTATATATTGCACACCGGGTGAAGGATCAGTCGTGTAACATCGACGGATCCTCCTGTTGGTTATGACTTCATTTGTGATCTTGGCAAAATTAATCAATTCCGGCACATCCGACCGGGATTCCGATGCATCCGACCCGAATTTTGGTGGTCCCTCTGTATGAGTTGGATTTCTCAAGAAAACGTAAAAAAAAGAAAAACTTCAAAAACAAAAAAGCATAATTTGTCAAAAAAACAACGCGAATAACAAAATTAATATAAAAGTTTTTAATCTTTCATAAATGTATACGTATTATTAAGTATTGTAATATTTGCGTGAAGTACATAATTAATGAAAAGAAATATATGTAATTAACCGTGTGCTAAATCAAACTTCAAAAAATTTTCGGGACATTCATTCTGGACTGTCACATGATCATCCGGAGCGCAACCTGGCACACATTTTCGGTTGCTAGTAGCCTCCAGAAGTTTGTAACTTTTTTTTTAGATCCAGATTAGCGGGATTGAACATTTAGATAAATTAGTAAGAAAAAAAGGGTGTTTATTCACAATACAATAATAATGTGTTAAATTTTGTTATGTTTTTCTGTGTAAATAGTAACAGATTTTTAGAGGTTACATATTCAACCGTTTTGACCCGAGTTGTAAATTTTTGACACGGTTGAACCGTTTTGATACGGGTGACCCGGTTTACTATAACCCGGTTCTAAACTCTAGTTTCATAGTTATCGCTATTACGTTTAAGGATGTCTACAACTGGACCTAACAACCGGACAAAGGCTTTTTTGCCCAATGTAGCAACCTTTAATCGACCTTTAGCTCGGATATTTACAGCGCGAGGCTTGTTATTGAGCAGAGCAAGTTCTAAATTTAAAATATTTAAATAACGATTATCATAAATGCGATAACTGAAACACCTATGTAACACTGACCTCCAAAGTAGTCTCCTTTATTCAGACCGGGAAGTTCATGCTCAACACCATCTTCGTCCACTTTCGTTACCCGAGCTTCACCAGATTCTATAAGATAAAAACTGTTACCTATATCTCCTTGTTTAATAACCAACTGATTATCTTCATAATACAAGGATTCCAAGGCATCAGCAATCTTGTGTCGTTCATAAGGTTCCAATGAAATCAAAATTGGAACCTCCTCAAGAAATGATTCATACATTCTTCGCTTGCGAGAAGTGTTTTCCATAAGAATCCGTCTAAAAGTTACTCTATCTAAAGCCCAAAGAACAGCATCTGATGTAGTAACAACAGTTGCAGCACGTGGAGCATTGTACATTAAAGCCAGCTCTCCGAAACTTCCACCAGCTTCATAATGATGTACTAACTCTGGAGCAGATCCATTTTTGGTGACGTAAACATCAAATGTACCAGTCTCCACAACGTAAAAGAAATCTCCGATACCACCTTGGCTAATAATCTCTTCATTTTTATCGACCCTCTTTTCTACCATCGCATCAATCACATCTTTATACTGCTCTTCATCAAGATTTTTGAACAAAAAATTATTGGCGATCGATGTTTCTATTCGTTTCCGTTGTTCCGGTGTTTTTGGAATATAAATTTTGACATAATCTTTATCCTGGCTAGGTGCCATTGATTCGGCACTTACAGACGTGCGACGGCCCCGGTTATAGTTTATTGGAATAGCAGGGAGATCACTGGGTTCATCATCGTAAAGTTCTTCTTCGCTGTCTGGAAAATAATCTGTAGTGGGTGTACTCGCCATAGACGTTTTTGCAGAGTAGAAGTCTGGTGAGCCTGCTGGCTCTTGTACTTCTGTGTCAGACATGTCAGAATAACATTGTGAATGTTCTGATGGTGAAAATCCTTCTTCCGGGATCTCTGGAATGTCTAGTTGGTCCGTCGTGGAAGCCATAAAAAACTATTATGAAAAGAACGAAATTTGCTAGATTAGGTCTTAAACTTATGTAAGATAAATTTTTATTTTAGATTTCTACAAAATGAATTAAGATGTCACGTATACTATCTGTAAAGTTGAGAAAAAGTATTTCCTCTTATTTATTATTATTTTTTTTTTAATAGCTCAAGCTATGTAGTAAAATATTGAAGGTGTATCTGATGAGAGCTGTTGGCATGAGCAACCATATGAATAAGTTTGCGTTGTTAGCTAGGGAGAGCAAGTTGGCACACTAAATAATAAGAAATGTATGAAGGATAATAATTCAATTATAGTAACTTGCCTTTAACTTTGTAATCCCGAAAAATGTATGATTCTAATAACTTAAATTTTTTGGATTTCAAGTGATGTTAATTTCTCTTAACGTTAAAGGATTGCGATAAAATACTGGTGGTTACACGAAAACTTGTGTTGTCCCGTGTAACATCAGCAATAGGGATTCTTCATCTTTGTTACTACGAACAAAGCGTACGACTTTTTAATCTGGCATATCTCAGAATTAATAAAAAAAAAATACCCGGACACGTTTTCTGGATTTCTGGTTTCAATTCTAGTTTTTTTTTGTTATACTTAATTAGCCCTTTCTATAATTACACAGTCGGGATGATAGTAACTTTTTTTAAAAAATGTGCTTATAAAGAGATTGTGCTTTTATGGAGATTTTGTCTATATATTTTTAGTAGTTTGTTTTTACAACATTAGGTGCTAAGATAGAGGTGTGATTATATGGTGTGATTATAGAAAGGGTTAACAGTATATACAAAATTGGTATTCCTAGAGTTTTTATAAAAACACAAATCTGTGCTTTTTTTTGGTATTTTTAAATTTCAAATCCAAAATTAATATTGAAGGTTCTTGTTTTATAATAGGGTACCGATCTGATAATATCTTCGTGTAGAGAAAAAAATTAGATTAATAAAAAAAAAATTAAATTAAAAACTTATATAACAAAAAATAATAAAATATAGATCTTATAGTATAATAGTAATTATTTCAAATTCTCAAATAAAAGATATTAATTTGAATTTTTTAGAAACAAAATATTGTATTTTATAATATGTATTTCTAAAATAAGCTATTGTAATATAGTAAATATTTTATTTATATTTTTTTTATAATATTTTATTAATTTGTTATAGTTTTATTAATATTTTTATATATAATTACTTGGATTAACTTTTTTTGCAAATTGAAAACTCAAAACCAAAAAGTCTTAACTACTTGTAGTTTTTATATACAAACTGTTAGGGTTCCGCAATTCGATTTGATTCGATTTGATTCGATCAAATATTCAAATCAAATCAAATTCAAATCATGGATTTATTCAATTCGATCAAATCAAATTATTCGAATTGAAACTATAAATTCAATAGCGATTTACGCAAAATTTTATTAAGATAACTGTTATTTTCATTTTAACTAACTAGAGGTATTTTGATTAGAAGAACATTTTTTATTTAATATATAAAATCGATTAGCTTAGTAAAATTTTGCGTAAATTGAGATTTTTGAAAAGTAATAAAATTTTAAAATTTTTAATAATATTCGAATATTATTTGATTTGATTTAATTTGATTCGATCAAATCAAATTCAAATTAAGAATTTATTTAATTCGATTAATATTCGATTCGATTTAATTCGATTTTGAGGAACCCTACAAACTGTTGTCAATAAAATTTTTAAATATAATACATCAAGAAGCAAGTATTTTAAATAGTTTGCAAAGAAGTCAAATCTTGTTTTTTTTGTTTCTAGGATGAATTTCTTTTTATATTTGGTATCTAAATTAAAGAAGTTTTTGGAAACAACAAGTATACAAAAAAATAAGTAAAGTTCTTTAGAAGCAATAATGAACAAACTAATAAAATTATCAATATCAACTAGGTTACTATTAAATTTAGAAGAAAACAAAATATACAAAATAGACAAGTAGATTGTAGCCTTTTTAATACGATACAAGTAACAAAGCACACAGCTATAGAGCTCTGTTGCAAGATTATAGTGGTGTGAAAGTAGAATGTAACTTCACTA